AATTACGTTCTTGACATGGAAAATTACACCAATTTATAAATTTTCCATGTATTGAATCTAATTACTGGAGAGTGGTCTTAAATTCAGGGTTGTCTTGGATTCAAGCAAACATGGCGATTCTCTCTAAGATCTAGGCCCAGTGTATCTTGATTGTTCCTGAACTGCCTCTTCTCCCAGAGTGAATTGGGCAGTTCTTAGTATCAAATACATTCATAACGGCTGAAGAATGGAATCAGCAGAAGCAATGTGTAATATAAGAAAGGTGTTTCCCCTTTCTCCTTGTGTTCCTAACAAGAGTGATGTTCCTGACATGAGGACTCTCTATGGTGGGAAATATCAATAGCTCACAGCCATGAGAATGGCATACTTTTACTTGCAAGGTCTCCAGGTGCTTTATGACTGCCAAGGCTTACAACTCCCTGAAAAGGTAAGTATGTGTTATACCCATTTTACAAGCGAGTAAGCAGGCAACGGAGAGTGTCTTGCATGATTATTCAAACCAGCTTGGTGGCAAAATAGATAGTAAAATAGCTCCGAAGAGGCATTTCTTGAAGATGATTGGTATCGGATTCACCACTATTTTTTTTTCACATTGCAGACTACATCAGATATTCAGTGCCTGATGGACTCTCTTCATGATCCATTTGCTCTCGTTTACATTGACTGGGGGTAACTTCTTGGGCCTGTTGAAGTCAACTGGCATTCTACCCCTAAACTTGATAATAAGGCATCTGTCCTATCTATATAACTGCAATTGCTTCTGTAGAAAAATAATTCTAGGGAAAGATCTGGATCATTCATTGTCTCTTAATGAACTTTAGTTCTTAAGCCAAGTTTTGTACAACTCCTCCGCTGTCTTTCTGCACAATACCAGTACCAGTCAATGCTTAGCAGACCATCAGTGGTCCACAGACCCGAGTTCAGGATCTCCAGGCCTAAATGATGTAGTAAAGTGGTCAGGGATGTATGTGTTAGCCATGGTGGTCTGAGACAAAAAGAAATGCAAACCTCTAGCACTCTTGGTTCAGAAGTGATGCCTTTTATTAGACCAACTAAGAAATTGCAAAAAAAAATATCTTTTTCTGCAAGCTTTTGGGCACATATAGTAAAGTGGTGGTATTCTTCAGATGCTGTCATATAGTCACAGGAACAGTCTTTTTTTTTTTTTTTTTTTTTTTTTAAAGTCTTTGAAAAAAGGCTCTTGGGTCTTTTAAACTCTTCGATCTCTTGAGTGTATTTTAACAACTGATTCTTGTCCTTGCAATGGCAGGATATTGATAGCGCCCTTGTTCCCCCTGCTTTAACTGTGGCAAGTTAAAGGGTGCTTTTGATTTATGCCTGGTAGTTGTGTGGGGGGGCTTTTCCCACTATTTTTAAGGACGTTAGACAAACACTTGTCTAGGATGGAGTAGACAGGTGACCCTGCCTTCAGCACAGGGTTGGACTAGATGAAGTAGGCATCTGGCTGGGGTCATCTCACCCCGGCGCTCTTTCCTGCCCAGGCAGGAGGTCGGACTTGAGCTTCTGAGGTCCCTTCTGACCCTAACATCTATGAATATATGAAGTCCTTTCTAGCCCTGCTTTTCTATGCTTAAATACTGGCAAGAAATAGAATTAAGAAAATAAAATAAAGGAGTTAGATGACTTGGAGGGGGGGAGTTGCAGGAATATTTTTCTCTCGGTCTTCTGAAAACCGAACATATTGTAATGCTGTTGCATATCATAATAACGTAGCATGCCAAGGGAATAAGCACATCTGCATTCAAAACAGTGCTGTTTATAAATGTTTTTCAACCAGCATTAAAAATTCTCTACTTCCAGCATGGTGGCGACTGCTAACCTCCTTGCACAACATTTTATTTTTTTACAGTCACTGCAAGAAGCTAAATAACGTGCTGTATTAAAATAGTAAGAGTCATATTGGCTGTTTAAAGATGAGCTACACCGAGGCCTGTTTGAGGTGCTAGGAGGGAATGCGAGTCATGGCTCCGGACTTCAGGCTGGGGCCAGGTTCCACTATAAATAAATGCTATTTTTAAGTCCTTGTCAGTTTGTTTAGCAGATTAGGACTGACCTGAAAACTTCTGCTCTGACTTCAAGGCAAAAAAGAGATTTTTTTTTTTCTGTGAAGTCTGAAGAAATCGGTAAAACTTTTTTTTTGCTTTTGAACTGCAAGTCATTTTAAAAGTTGATTTAAAACCGGTGGGGAAGCAGGATGGACAGACAGCAAACTTCAAGTTGCCATTCCTGTTTAGTACCTCTCCTTTGATTGCCACTGAAATTAGCCTTCTTTCTTTTAACCCTTCAGGATTTCTAGCGAGTTTATTTCTTCTTGAACATAATAGGCTGTATTCCTGCCATTACTTCGATATCATTTTACCCCAATCTGTATCTCATCCGACTGCCCCTCTAGTCTGCTAGCAGTGGAAGCCAGGCTGTCTGTTTTGTGCACAGCTATTTTCATAGCTTTTTCCAGGCCCCCAAGTCGTCATCCTTTTTTTTTTTGTTTGAGTTTTTTGGGTCCAATCCTGCCAACCAACTCTCTTCGTGGTCTGTGACAAGACACAAGGCCTGCTCTCCCCCTTGCCTTTTCTGTTGCTGCATAGGCTCCTCATGGCATGAATTGTTGCTTAGGTGTACCCTCAGGGCCAAGAATACAGGAGCCCTAGCCTGGCTTGGCCGACTGGGTACTACTGCCATACCAATCGTAAATTCAGTTAATAATGCCAAAAAAAAAATGCTGGGCTTTCAAATGCATCCTGCTTCCCATGTCTACTTTGCTTAGATCTCAAGCCCTTCAGAAAAGGGGTTTTCTCTTCTGCATGTTGACTGTGTTCTGCAACTGCTGCCAAAAACTTGCTTTTAATTAAACAATGTTATGAATATTTTTTTTTCTGTGTCTTTATCATTTTCATATGCCTGTTAGCAGGCCTGGCGTTAAAACTCTAGGGGAATGTAACAAACTTTATTACTCTGTCTTTTAATATCTTTTGAAGTCTGTCCCGATAAGGCAGGTTTGATTTAGTGTTTCAAACTTTTGCTTAGTCTCTGGACTCGATGGTTACCCTACCCTTAAACAATGTTTAACATCCACTCTGTGTTTTGTGACATGTCGGTGTGTGCTCAGTCTCATAGCTCCCTGTCTGTGACTGTAGGACAAAGATGCATGGTAAGAAACAAAAATCCTTGGATGTTTCTGTGGTCCCTGGGATACAGCAGGACACTTACTTGTGGGTGAACATGGGTCTGCTCAGCTTACGTAAGAACATGGTGAACTCCAGAGTCATAAAGCTTCCTGGGCAACATCACATGTTGATGGGGAGCTGGGAGGACAGTACAACATGAAACCCATGGAGGACGGTGTGAGCTAGTGCTCCGCAGTGAATAAACTCTGCTGAAGTCCCAGATTTAATTCCCTTTTTATTTAACCACCAAGCCACGCTCCTTCAATAGTTTACGGGGTCCGTGGTGCAGCGTGGCTGAGAACACAAAGTTCCCGTCGACATCGGTTGGAGTCAGGCTGTTCAGCACCTTTGAAAATCAGGTCCCAGTTTTCTGCTTAACTTTACTTTATTATTCCGTGCGGTCGCTTTTTATTTTAAGCTGCAGAAAATGTCAGCGGATAAAGGTTGAGTAAAATGGCTAAGTTACTGGGTCATTAATATTTCATTATAATTGGAACGGCAGGAGAAATGATATTCTAACCACTGTTAACCTTTGTAAAACTAAATGAATTGCAAGGAAACCGTCTTCCTCCCTTCTCCTTCTTCTCTTGGCGTAAGTCATTTTAATTTCCTCTGCACATCTCTGGCTGTTTTTTTTCCACGGACAAAGTTTGAGCTACTTGAGGCTTTTTTATGCACTGCATTTAAAACCATGTCTACATTTTTCCCCCTAAATCTATTCTCTTCAATTCCCACTTCCATAGTAAATTACTTTCTAACAGTATACAAAGGTGTTATAAAGAGCCTTCAGGCCCTTCTGGTCTTATACCAGTTCCTTTCTTGATCTTGTTTCTTCCTATCCCTTACTTGCACAGAATCACAGACAACGAGGGCTGGAAGGGACCTCAGGAGGTGACATCTAGTCCAACCCCTGCTCACAGCAGGACAAGCCCCAACTACATCATCCCAACCAAGGCTTTGTCTAGCCCAGTTTTTAAAACCTCCAAAGAC